AAGACATCGTGGAACAATGCGGCCCGCGTTGATAAAGGGGCTTATCGGGTCCGTGGGGCTGTGGGGGCGGTGGCGGGGGCGTCTGGCGGGGCCCTCCGGCAGCCTCCAGCGGGGTCAGCAGAGCCATCATCAAGGGGCGACGGCAAGGGGAAAAAAACGAAACAACAACAACATACAATCACTTTTTCGACACGCGTCATTTACACGTGATGGTTTCCCGCCATAGTGGGGGCCACAACGACGTGCCGAAAACCATGTTGTACGATGTTGATGCGTTTTACCCCCGTTCATATACACAAAAAACGTTTAGATTTCGACATTGCCAAAGAAATGCAATCCCCCCCCCCCTTTTTATTTTGCAACTGAAATTATTAAATTCCAGGTGAAGTATTGCACACGTTTTATCATCAAAAACGACGAATTAAATGCTTCGCCAATGTTTCCGATGTAACCGACGCCAAGAGGAAAGACAAGGACAAGAGCCAAAACCCAGACTGTTGCAATTTAACGAAACAAAAACCGGACTATCATCCTTTAAAAGACCTACCCGACGGTAGTTTCAACGTCACACTTTTGTCCCCCACATGTCACTCGTCACTGTGCTCGTCCCAAAAATACCCCAATCGACGCCAAACGTGTTCGAAGCGAGCAACTTTCGAACTGTAACGGGTCTCGCGGCGGCGTCTCTGTCCAGCGAGGTAATCCAGAGCAGGGCGGCGCGCGTGCGGGCGCTCGTGCGCGGCGCCGGTCCGGCCGCGGGGCGAGGCAGAGCGAGGCGCGGCGGAGAGCGATGCGAGCGTGCCGGCGCCGGGGCGTGGACTGGCGGCGGGGCGGCGGGGGCGGCGCCTGGGGGCGGGGCCGCGCCACCCCCCGGCCCCACCGGCCGGCGCACCACCGGGGGCGTGCGCCGCGGGCGCCGGCACCGCTCCGGCACCGCGAAGGCATCGCTCCGGCACCGCGCCGGCACCGCGCCGGCACCGCTCCGGTAGGAGAGAAAATATCGCAAAATATCGAGTTTTTTTAGCACTGCGCAATCTAATCGTGATAAAACCAGTCCGATTTGAAAAAACTTGCACATTTAAATCATAAAGACGTTTTAAAATTCATAGATTTCAGATTTCTGCCAATTTTGAAAATGCTTCGCATTGCGAAGGAAATAGTTTGCATGGTTCACATTTGTATTGACACGGAATGCAGACTTTCCTGACAAAACTTCAAAACTCTTTGCAAGAATTTTGCAGTGTGAATACGCCCGCTTATTCCCATGGCGGCATAAAAAGCGGTCTCGAACAATAAAACTAAATTCTCCTAGAAATGCTCAGAAGTGCGTCAGTGCGACCATTGCGTGTGGCCTGACGCCGCTTTGAAATTCACACAAAAATCAGAAATATTCACGCTCCTGCGAGGTCAGCTGAAGCTTGCATTTAACAAATAATGACAAAACGATAAGCACTGAGGTGCGCGCGGGGTACACTTGTTAAATTCCTGCAAAGCAACAAAGAACTGCAAATTATTTAGACGTGACTATAAAGCATTTATTTTGGAAATACAAAGTGATGCTATGCAACGTTTTTCTGGTGTTTCATTGCTTCGCAATTACAGGAAGGCTGGACAGTCCACCCGGTGAGGCACCTGACAAGAAAGTAGGCAACGCGCCTGCAGGGCTGCGCGGCGGGACGGCCCACCCGGCCGGG